CTGGAAAATGGACTCAGACTGGGCAAGCCTGGCACGCAAGCAGAACAGGGACGTCTGGAGTGCCGCACCTGCTACCTCCTGCCAGGCAGGCCCTCTGCGTTCAGGGTCTTCAGGAGGCCTTCCCTTGGCACCCCTCAGAACGGGTTTCTGGGAGCATCCCTGGAGAGCCCGTTTTCTGAGCTATTCAGATCAGCTCGGATCCCTGCAGGCTCTGGCCACACCCTTCTCACCTCTACCCGCACTCTGTGGCTGGAGCCAAAACTCGAGAAGAGAAGGGCGAGGCAGCCCACTTACCTGGCATGGAGAGTAGACCAAGCACCCACGGCCAGAGGCCTCCCATGTTCACGCGGTCTGTGGGGGGCCCCATTGGCCCCACAGCAAGCAGGAGCCCAAACACCCGCAAGGACAAGCCCGCCTAATAGCAGACCTAACGCCAGTCCCCGCCCCCACCCAGCCCTTAAATAGCGACTTCTCCAGCCCCCACCTGCAGCCCCACCCCAACCAACCTCACTTGCAGCCCCGCCTCCATCAACGCCACCTGCAGCCCTGCCCGCTCCCACCTGTGCTCCCCGCCCCCACCCCCCCAGCCCAGGCCGGAGCCTCAGGACCCAGGTCAAATCCTTCTCAGCCTGGCTGAGGTGGGGGAAAAGGTGAGAAGCCAGGCACCAAGCACCCTGCAGGGAGGGAGGGTACCACTGGGGAGTGTGCCTCTTCTGAGGTCCCCTCTCACCACCAGGGGGCAGGGAAACATCACAGAAGGGTGCTAAGGTGGGCGGGGGGCAGGGAGGGGGGAGTGGGCAGGGGACCTCGTTCTCCAACAGGGGAAGACCCCTTTCCTGCCACGCCCCGCCCTGTGCTCACACCTGGGAAAAGCTGCCCGAGACCCTGAGGCACCCCCAGCCTATCTGTGGAAGAAGGAAAAGGTCACTAATTTTTATGTGTTTATATACATAGAGGAAAGTGGACAATCACAAGTGCAGGGATCCGGAAAAGTTTACACACTGAACGCCCGGCGTAACCAGCACCCCAGAGAAGCCTGCCGTGTAGATGGGGGAGCTTTTGGATACCTGGACTCTTGCATGGACACTGCTCCTGTCATCCCCACAACAGCCGTGCAAAATCGGCATTTATCCCCATTTCACAGATCCAGAAACTAAAGCTCCTTACCCATATTCCTCCTCTTCTATGCTCCTGGGCCTCTCGAGAGGCCCATTCTCAGAGCTTGGTCACCAGGGGGCCCACCTGGATTTAAATCCTGGAGGTGAAGGATTTGGGGACCTCCCCCACCAATGCCCAGTGAAGGGAAGTGACAGAGCTGAGGCAAGGTTACCAGCCACTGTCCACACGTGCTTCTCAGCATCCTGCCATGCCTGGAATCCAACATCTCTCAAAAGATACCAGTCGGAACCACGGGGAGAACAGACAGATGCCCCTGCCGCCCAGGCCGGGTATTAGTGTATGTAAACATGCACGGACTGGCCACATCTGATGAGAGCTGGCTAAAATCATCCTAATAATCACCCTGCTTGGATAGAGAAACAGATTCTTAGTTAAGAAATGCAGTTTGAGGGGCGCCTGCGTGGCTCAGTCGTTAAGCGTCTGCCTTCGGCTCAGGTCATGATCCCAGGGTCCTGGGATCGAGCCCCACATGGGGCTCCCTGCTCAGCGGGAAGCCTGCTTCTCCCTCTCCCACTCCCCCTGCTTGTGTTCCTTCTCTCGCTTTGTCTCTCTCCGTCAAATAAATAAATAAAATCTTAAAAAAAAGAAAAAGAAATGCAGTTTGACTTGAGGACATTATGCGAAGCAAAATAAGCCCTTCACAACAGGGCAAATACTGTATGATTCCACTTATAGGAGGTACATAGTCAGATTCAGAGACAGGAAGTAGAATGGTGGTTGCCAGGGCCTAGGGGAAAGTGGGTATAGGGAGCTGTTGTTTAATGGGCACAGAGTTGCAGTTCTGCGAAATGGAAAAGTTCTGGAGATCTTGAATATGCTTAACATTACTGTACACTTAAAAATAGTAAAGATGGGGCGCCTGGGTGGCTCAGTTGGTTAAGCGACTGCCTTCGGCTCAGGTCATGATCCTGGAGTCCCAGGATCGAGTCCCACATCAGGCATCCTGCTCAGCAGGGAGTCTGCTTCTCCCTCTGACCCTCCTCCCTCTCATGCTCTCTGTCTCTCATTCTCTCTCTCGCAAATAAATAAAATCTTAAAAAAAAAAAAAAGTTTAAAAAAAAAATAGTAAAGATGATGGGGCACCTGGGTGGCTCAGTCAGTTCAGTGTCCGACTCATGGTCTTAGCTCAGGTCTTGATCTCAGGGTCATGAGTTCAAGCCCTGTGTTGGGCTGCATGCTGGGCGTGGAGACTACTTAAAACAAATAGTAAAGATGGTAAATTTTATGTTATACAGTAGTCCCCCTTTATCCACATGGAATACATCCCAGGACGCCCAGTGGATGCCTGAAACTGTGGTTGATACCAAACCCTATTTTTTCCTATACATAATATCTATGAGAACATTTAATTTACAAGTTAGGCACAGTAAGAGATTAACAACTAATAAATGCTGTAATTAAAGTTATGTGAATAGGGTCTCTCTCTCTCTCAAAATACCTGATTGTACTGAACTTGCCCTTCTTGTGAGGATGTGAGATAAAATGCCTACGTGATGAGATGAAACGAGGTGCTTGATGTCGACACTGTGACAGAGCGTTAGCTACTATTGACCTTCCAGCAATACATCAGAAGGAGGATCATCTGCTTCCAGACCACGGTTGACCATGGGCAACTAAAACCACAGAAAGCAAAACCTTGGATAAGGAGGGACTTGCTGTATATTTTTAACCATGATTTAAATTTATTTAAAAGATTTATTTATTTTAGAGAGAGAGCGTGAGTAGGGGTGGGGCGTGGGGAGGGGTGCAGAGAGAGAATCCTCAAGCAGACCCCCTGCTGAGCACAGAGCCCAACTCAGGGCTCATCCCAGGACCCTGAGATCATGACTTGAGTCAAAATCAAGAGCGGGCTCCTCAACAAACTGAGTCACCCAGGCGCCCCACAATTTAAAATTTTTAAAGAAATAAATAAGAAGGAAGGAGAGAGACAGAAAGGGGCACCTGGGTGGCTCAGTTGGTTAAGCAATGGACTCTATTTCAGCCCAGGTTATGATCTCGGGGTGGTGAGAGTGAGCCTGGCGTGGGGCTGCACGTGGACTCTGCTTGAGATTCTCTCTCCCTCTGCCCCTCCCCCCACTTGCACACTCTCTCTCTCTCTCTCAAAAAAAAGAAACAAACTTAAAAACACAGGTAGGGGAAGCTGGACAGGGAGGGTGGGTGGAAGGGATGGGGTAGGGCTGAGGGTGGGATGGGCAGGGGCCTCAGCCACCAGTCCTGCTGTTTGTGAGGTAGGACCGTGTGCTGGGAAGGCCCCCGTGACTCAGAGCCCCAGCTGCCCTCCACTCCTTCCCCAAGCTAAGTGTTGTCGGCAGGTCCAAACGGAAGCCCACTCAGAGCCTAAGAAAGCCTTGATCGCAAGCCCAGCTCTGCTCAGTTCCGACCAGGGAGCGCCTCACCCACCCCCAGACAGCAGAGGGAACAAGGCACGGGGCAGGCTGCTCGTCCTTCACCAGGCCTGTTGGAATGAATGCCGACCTGTGCCAGATTCCTGGCACCGAGGGCAGAGCAGACCACAGGCCCTGCCCTCAGGAGCATGGTTGAGACGCACAGCTACACACATGAGAACCTTCTCCTCACGGGCATTCAGTAGCTAGCATTTCCTGAGCACCTACTATGTGTAGGTGCTGGGCTAAGCCTCTTAAATGAATTGACTCCCGCCATTCTCCATACCATGCTAACTGGCAGGGGCTAGTGACAAAACCCCATTTTACAGACAAGGGAACTGAAATACAGGGAGCAAAACTGGCCTCCTAGCCATCAAACTCCACCCCTGAGGCGTACCCTGCCAGGCAGGCAGAATGCCATGAGGAAGAGCCAGCATTCTGCAGGGGGGACCCTTGAGCTGAGTTTGGAAGGACGAAGAGTTAGCCAGGCGAGGCTCCCAGTGGCCAGGAGCGGAGGCTGCATGAAGCGGGGGGAGCTGTCCAAGAGCTGACCTCAAGGGCCTCCGCACCCCTGCTCCCAGGCAAATCACAGCGCCTGTTTCCAGCAGCCTCCGCGTGCACCCCTCCACTCTGGCTGCGGCTGGGCCTGTGACTCACGCCCCCCACCCCCGGACGGCATAGTCCCGAGCCAGGCAAGTAACCAATATTCAATCAAGACATGCTAGGTGGGTGGGTGTAAAGAGCAACTAAGCCCATCCCTGGTGACGTGTTCTCTGCACCGGACACGAGGCCACATGGCTTCTGGGGACAAGAAGGAACTCTGGAACAGAGGCTGCCATGAGCCCCAGCACAAACGGGCATCCCGAGGCCTGGAGGCCCTGCCTGGGGATGCGAGAGGAGAGGGGAGAGGCTGTGTTGCCCTACTGTGGGGAAAAGGAGGCCTGGCCTAGCACACGCCCGCTCGGCCACTGGAAGAGCCACACACACGGGCACATGCACAGATACCTTCGGGCACGCGTGACACGCAGGTGTGTGCAAGCTGAGAACACCAGACACCCACAGCCGCGGGAACAGCCACGTACCTAGGTGCACACACGTACATATCCATCCGTGTTCCAAAAAGGAAGTGGGGTCTGAGCCATGGACATAGGCTTCTCCCCACAGGGCCCAAAGCCAGTAACAGGAATGAGGTTTGGAGACAGCCTCCCAGAAACCACCTCGTTCAGCTCTGGAGACGGAAGGCTGCCCGGGCTAGGACACCGACACAGGGCGGCCAGGGCCGGGAGGGCCCCTCCTACGGGGGAGCTCACACGAGCACCTTCTTCCTTCCACACCTCAGGCACTGCCGCCCAAGGAAAGGGGAGGTCTGATGAGGAAACGGCTTGTGAGCATTTTCCCAGGCACTGACTTGAGACCAGACGCTTGAGACGTTGCTTTTTAAACAAAACAGTATTTTATTGACACATCCTCAATGTTCCATATAAATATAAAGTGCTAAGTTTCCAACCCCCGCCCACAGGGCTGGGAGGAAGTGGGGGAGGGAGTGTTAAATGTCAGCTGAACACAAAAAACTTTCCAGCACCAATACAGGCGTGACATGCTCACACACACACGCACGTGCACGCACGTGAGCAAGACGCCCACACGCAGCAGACGCGGCGCTCCCCAGGAGCACAAGGCGCAGGCTCCAGGCCTGTAGTGGACCACCCCCCAGACGGGGCTCCCGGTTGTCGCAGCTTGTTCCTTAGAGCGCTCAGGCTGCCAAGGGCTTCAACATGGTGGTGGGACCAGTGGGAATCCACGGGTGTAGCGGTCCAGTTAGTTTCTGCCAGAAGACAGAGTGGGGAGGGGGAGCAGACCTGCCCTCCATGCTGGTCCCCAGAAGAGGGCCAGCCCTCAAACCTAGCAGAAGAGCACCAGGTGAGAAAGTCCAGAGTTCCTGCACTCCCAGCACCACCACCTGGGCCCTTTTCAAACTTCGGAGAAGGGGCAGCTTTCCCTGACCTGGAGGGAATCAGGGCCCCCCCCCGCCGGGGGGCGGGGGCAGCCTGGTGCGGCCCTGCCTCAGTGACAGAGCACCTGAGTCTCAAACTGTAGCAGCTGCCCCATGAAACTGAAGTTGGGGGAGATGACTCCCCGGCGTTGCTTAACAAAGTCGAAGGCCTCGTCCAGCCTCACGCGGCGGCTCTGTATCAGGTAAGCCAGGCAGATGGTTGCCGAGCGCGAGATGCCCGCCTGGCAGTGAACCAGTACCCGGCCTCCACTGTTCTTCACCGAGTCTGCAAGGCACATGGGGAAAAGGGGGGTCAGGCACGAAGGGACGCAGGGGAGGTGATAGGCGCCCCAGGCCCCTCACCTGGGTGTCCCTTGGGCTCCCTGGGCTGAGGCCCCCCTCTTACCAATGAAGCTTATGGCCTCCTGGAACCAGGCACTGATCTCCACCATCTGGTTGTCCTCCACCGGGATGCTCTTGTAGCGGAAAAGGCCCTCAAAGTGGTTGGGGCAGCGGGAGACGTTGAGGACCGCCGTGATGCCACAAGCTTGCAGCCCCCGCAGGTCGGAGGAGTGGCTGCAGCTGCCCAGGAACAGGTAGGGCAAGATCTCCACAGGGCCGCCCTGCATGGGGGGCGAGAAACGGCAGAATGAGGAGGGGGTTTTGTCAGCGCCGCCCCAGGGCTTGAGCACGCGTGGGGGCAGACAGGGCCAGCTGGCCCCAGCAAGAGGAGCCCTCAGCCTGTCCTGACCAGGATCACGCTCGGGAAATAGGACACAAGGGGACACACAGAGATACTCGCTCACAAACACACACCTCCCCGTCAAAGCACCCAATACGCTGCAGGCACACACTGACAGAGCCCTCATGAGCAGCCCGCACCAGACACACAAAGATGTGCTCCCGTTTGCTGCGGGGACACACACACACACACACACACACGTGAGTGCGGACATGGAGAGACTCCTCGAATCCACAAGTGGCAGCCCCCTTCCCCAGAGGTGCCTATCCCGCGAATGAGGGGGGCGGGAGGGGGTGCCGAACAGTGAAAGGAGCTCGGATCTCAGCTCACCTGGTCGTAGAAGGGAGCCCTGGGGTCAGAGCGGCTGTTCTCGCCCCCAGCAGACGACATGGCCGGGGCGGGGGACTCGGAGCACAGATCGGGACAGCAGGCCTGGAAGCCATCGAAGCCGCCTGCAGAGAGGGCGAGGGGCGGTTAGAGGCTCGGCGGGT